TGTGTTATAAAACCTACTAGCCCTACAACCAAACTTCGGGTTGTATTCAATGCTTCCGCCAAATTTGCCGGACAGGAATCACTCAATGACTGTCTATTATCTGGCACCAAGCTTCAAACAGATATAGTTCGCCTTCTTTTGTGTTTTAGGATTCATAGATTCGTATTCACTGCTGATATTCGTCAAATGTTTCGACAAATTTTAGTAGATTCGCAGCACGTTGATTATCAAAGAATCCTTTGGAAATTTTCTAAGACCGAACCTATAGCAGATTATCGTCTTCTCACCGTCACTTATGGACTTACTTGTGCTCCTTATCTGGCCATAAAATCGCTACTCACGCTGGCTGAAATAGAAAAGGACAATTATCCAGCAGCCGCGAATGTGATTTTAAATTCTTCCTATGTGGATGACCTAACTAAAGGTTCTTCTACGATCGAGGACGCCAGAGAGCTGCAAAAGAATTTGATATCGTTGCTGTCCAAAGGCGGTTTCGAGTTGCGTAAGTGGTGCAGCAATGACCCCCGTTTATTAACTGATTTTCCTCCTTCGCACCTCTATAGCGAGGACTTATCTCTTAATTTTGACTCAGATAGCCCCCTTAAGATTCTGGGTTTGCAATGGAACCATGCTTCTGATACGTTTGACTTTTGCGTCAACCCTATGGAAAAGGGTTGTACAAAACGTATTTTATTGTCAAATTTAGCAAAAATATTTGATCCCCTTGGGATATATATTTGTTAAGCATCTTATTCAAAGATTATGGTATCAAAAGTTGGATTGGGATGCAACCCCAACTAATGACATAGTGCGTCTCTGGGATCAATATACCAATACAGTATCGTCTTTGTCAGATTGCAAAATAGCTCGTTACCTTTTTCCCCAACCCTATGATAGTCTTGAGCTTCACGGGTTCTGCGATAGTTCGGAGAAGGGATATTGTGCAGTTATTTTTCTTTATGCTGTGCTTCCTGATGATAAAGTTACCACCCATTTTGTTTGTGCCAAGTCTAAAGTTGCGCCGCTTAAAACTATCTCCATTCCTCGCTTGGAGCTATGTGCCGCAGTTTTATTGTCTCGTTTGTTATCTTATGTGCTTGGCGTATATCAACCTGAGTTTCCTATTAACAAAGTTTTCGCCTGGAGTGACTCTACTATAACGCTTCATTGGATCCACTCTTCGCCCCATCGCTGGAATACTTTTGTAAGTAACCGCGTTGCCTTTATTCAAAGGGAACTTCCTTCTATTTCTTGGTACCACGTTGCTTCTGAGAATAATCCTGCGGACGTGGGTTCAAGAGGCCTTCTTCCTAGTGAATTAGCCCAATGCTCTTTATGGTGGACGGGCCCAACTTTCTTAAATAGTTCTAACCGCGATTCGTCTCCTTTTTCCCGTGACTCTACCCCTGAAGCAATTCCGGAGAAGAAAACTTGTTTAGTTTGTCCAGAGCTTTCTGTGGAGTTTTTTGACCTTCTTATCTCAAAATATTCCTTATTGAACAAATTGCAACGAGTATTTGCTTATGTGCTTAGATTCAAGCATAACTTATGCTTTCCTGCTGCTCTGCGAGAAGGTACTTTAACTAGTCTAGAAATGCATACTGCTTTTTTAATTCTTGTTAGATATGTTCAGTCTGTTGTTTTCGTTACGGACATTGCTCTTATCTCTAGGAATGAACCGCCTTCTAAACCTCTTAGAAAGTTGACCCCTTTTATAGATAGCGAAAATGTATTACGTGTAGGTAGTCGGTTAAAGCATTCTTCCCTCAGTTTTGATAGAAAATTTCCCGCTATTCTTCCCAGCGATCACATTTTGACTCGACTGATAATTACCTATTTTCATTTGAAATATTTCCATGCTGGAGTACAGAGCGTTCAATACTTGATTGGCCAACAGTTCTGGATTATTGCTTCTAAGCGAGTCATTCGTAGTGTGTCATCCAAATGTATTGTCTGTTATAGACTAAATCCCCAACCATTACAACCCCCAATGGGCGATCTCCCTCTCGCTCGCGTTTCACAAGTCAAGCCCTTTTCTCACACTGGCGTTGACTATGCCGACCCCTTTAAAGTACTTATGTCTCGCCATCGTGGTTCTCGTACAAGCAAAGCATATTTGTGTTTATTTGTTTGTGCTGCTAGCAAAGCCCTCCATTTGGAGCTTGCTTCCGATCTATCTGCCGATGCTTTCTTAGCGGCTTTGCGTAGATTTATCGCCCGCAGAGGACGTTGTCATTATCTTTTTTCAGATTGTGGCTCCAATTTTGTTAGTGCTGCTAAGCAGCTGAATGGATTTATGTCGACGTCAGCTTCACTCGAGGGTATAGAGTGGCGTTTTAATCCTCCTTCTGCCCCCCACTTCGGCGGCCTCTTTGAAGCCGGCGTGAAGTCTGTCAAAACGCATCTTTATAGAGTAGTTGGCAATCAAAATTTGACCTATGAGGAGTTAAATACACTTTTAATTCAAATAGAAGCATTTCTCAACTCCCGACTTCTTACTCCTTTTAGTAAAGATCTGCATGACTTGACAGCACTCACCCCAGGCCATTTTTTGACATTGGAAGCCTTGACCGTGCCTCCTGAACCTAATTTAACCTGTGTTCTAATTGGTCGCTTAGACCATTGGCAATTATTGACCCGAATGCATCAGGATTTTTGGCGTCGTTGGTCACATGAGTACCTTCACACCTTGCATCAACGTTCTAAGTGGCATAAAGGCCCCACTTCCATAAACCCTGGAACCCTTGTTCTGATCAAAAACGACTTGATGGACGACGGAGTTGTTCGCGTGGCCACCTTTCGTACGACTAGTGGTTTACTTAAGCGACCTGTGGTGAAGCTTTGTCCTTTACCACTTCATAACTAAGTAATTACTGAAAATGCATTGCATTTTGGTGGGCGGCATGTTCTGTTTTGATTCCAAATAATATGTTCAATCAATCACATTTAACTCTCTTCTTTTCTTGGCTCACTGTGTATCATTATTCATAAATTCAAGTCTAATAGTTTTGAGGCCTTTAAAGGAATATCGCGCGTGTGCGGTGAAAAAGGACAAAAAAACTACTTTGGTGCCAGCAAAAATATTGCTATTAGCCGCAAAGAGAATCTGAACGGACGTCAACCAAACGACTTTGTTTTTCCACAAAAAACTTTTAATAGAGAATCCGCATTTAATTTTTAATAATTTACCCGCATAAATTTATAGAGAACCCGCAACTAAGTGTTTAATTTGCCGAGTTTAGAAACAGAACTAAAAAACGCGTCGACTGGCCAGTCCGGAAAACGTGTGTGTGTGTGAAAAAGGTGTCCGTGGACACCTCTACATGGAAGCCAGAAGTTCAAGGTAAGGTCTCAAAACCTCCATTTTATTTGCATTTAAAAGATTTGATACAGTCCACTTATCTCACACTGAGCCTTGAAATAGTATTTTTTTTTCTTTAAAAACTTTGAAAAGTCCAAATTTTACTAAAGTTTACACAGACACTTCCCTCGGGAAAATTTTAGTTTTTAGGGGTATATATTATTTTTTTTTTCTTTTCTCGCCTTGAGTGCATATAAAAAGTTGCAATTAACATTATATTGAAAGGATTTTTTTTCCACTACCTTTTTGTTTTTAGGGGTAGTTCGCCTATTTTCAACTTTACAAAAAAAAAATATTAAGAAAACTTGTTCATTTTATTATTTTGAGCAACTTTTCTCTATAACTTCTAATTGCAAAGTTGAAAATAAGCGAACTACCCCTAAAAACAAAAAGGTGGTGGAAAAAAAATCCTTTCAGTACAATGTTAATTGCACCTTTTTATATGCACTAAAGGCGAGAAAAAAATAAATAAATATATACCCCTAAAAACTAAAATTTCCCTAAGGGAAGTGTCCCCCCACTGAATGGGGGTGAGTTACAAAAAAAGTTGATTGGGAAAAATTGTAGGAAATGTAATCTTATAAAACTTTTATAAGGAATTTTTTTTTGTGAAAAAATAAATAAACTTTAAACTACCCCTATTGAAAAACGGCAGGGGGTGAGTAAAAACTTCATAAAGCAAAAATGTTGTTTGTGTTGTAGAAAAATGTTTCACGTTGGTTAAAATTTTTCATTTTCATTATAAAACTTCAAACGGCCCTTAGAACCACAGACAGCCCTTAATCAAAAAAGTCTTTAGATAAACATTGTAGACCAAATAATGTTGCACATCTTTTATTTGAATTTTTTTTTTGTACAATCAATAGGTACCAAGTAATCACCAATGACGCACTTTCAACCCCTATAGCGCAAAACGCCAGAGGGGTGAATGTTTGATATTTTCGGTTTTATGATCATCCGCCCGCCCCCTATCATCCCTGAAAAGTTCATTTGGGTAGGATTTTTTTTTTTGCAATACATGTATTTTTCGACTATTTTCCTAGACTAAAAGCAAATATTATGCAATGGATGTCAACGGCATATCGAGTACTGGGGTCTAAAAAAAAATCGGAAATAAAGATAGTGGGGTCATGTTCCAATTATCTTAATGTTTTCTAGAATAATAAACAACGTATATATACAGGGTTTATAAGTTTACTTTGAGACACAAGAATTCAAGAACTATGTTCAATTAAAGATTCCATAATCTGGTAAGAAAGTTCATTGGTTTAGTTGGTACTTATAAAGTGGTACCTAATCAGGTTTTATTAGTATTTAAAATTTTGATCACAAATATTTATTGAACTTTATTTTCTGGTTCTAATGTTTTATCTGTGTTTTCTTTGGTTAAAATTGTATGTCTTCAACCTTTCTTTTTGGATAACTTCGAAAGATTTTTGTTGGTATTTCCATCAGAAAAATTACTTATACCGGATATTCAAAAATGAGGAACAGATACTGACAATAACAATGATAATTAATACAAGTAAACAAAACTATACACAGAAGATATCAAAAGTGAAAATTGTATTCTGTTGATGCAAAATTACGTTAACATTTTCGCATTACGATAAAAATGCTGCAAAAAAAATTTTCTTACCCCAATGGCCTTCTTTTATCAGCCATTTAGAAACAAAAAAGGACTCACAATTTGTGTTTGACTTGTATTCTGATTACTTTTATTTTCCGCTACATCAGCATTTTTTGTGATAAGTTTATCGTCATTTCACGAAATAATCATACCATGTTTGGTGCCTCTATAATTATTTAACTTGAGACACCCATTTTAATAATGTTATGTTTATCAAAAAATAAATTATTATTAATTGCATATGTTGTTTATAGTTAATTTGCCAATATAATCTGGTGGAATGAAAACATATAAATGATGCTTTGCACCTATTATTTTGCTTGTTGACAAAGAAACATTGCATTAATGTGATTGTGTGTTTGAAATAATTGTAAGTCAAAAAATAATTACCAAATAATTTAATTCAAAAAAATTACTTTTCAGGAAAATAATGGCGTGGCATTTAGCCCCAATTATATTAAGCTTATGTGCTTTTCTTGTTGTCATCCTAGTGGCTGTAATAACTTTTTACAAAAACTGTTTTCTCTACTTCAAATCCAGAGGAATTCCATTTTTAAAACCATCAATCCCTTTCGGAAATGCCACTAGTTTTTTTCTAGGCAAAGTTGGCTTTGGTGCCTTGTTTCGGGATTGGTACTTGGAAATCCAGAAAAATGGTTGGCCAATCGGCGGGGCTTATTTCTGTGGAAAACCCGTTTATATACCAGTGGATAATGAAATAATCAAAAAAATCCTAGTTTCGGATTTTATTATTTTCCCCAATCATGGATTGTACATTGAAGAAAAAAGTGATCCACTTTCAGGCCATCTTTTCAACATGGAAGGTTATAAATGGAAAAATCTAAGGGCCAAATTGCCAAGTGCATTTACTGCAGCTAAAATGCGCAAAAATGTTGTGATTATGGAAGGTTTTAGCCGAGAACTTGTTAAAAGGTTAGACCAAAATCAATCAATCAATATCAAAGATGTATTGAGTAGATTTTCAATTGATATTATCAGTGCATGTGCTTTTGGACTAGAAACTGAAACACTAAAACAGCAAAATCAAGAATTAACAAAACAGGCAAGGGCATTTTTTGATGTACAATGGTGCAGGACTAAAAACAGTTTAGTAATCCTTATACCAAGACACATATTAAGCTTATTTCAGTTTAGATTGTTTCCTAAAAAAACAACAAACTTTTTTATGAATCTATTCAAAGATGTTAAAGAACAACGCCAGAAGGAAACTACAAAAAGAAACGATTTGACTGATTTATTGTTAGATTTGTGTGTCAAGACTAACAAAGATTTTAGTGGAGAAGGCACAATGGAACCTTTAAATTTTAACGAAATGGCCGCCCAAATGTATGTTTTTTTTGAAGCTGGTTTTGAAACTTCTTCGAGCACATTAACTTTGACTTTATATGAGTTAGCTGCAAATCTGAATATTCAAACAAAATTGCGACAGGAAATAAATAATATTTTGGAAAAATATAATGGACAAATTGGATACGATGCTATTAATGAAATGGAATATTTGGATAGGGTATTCGATGAAACTTTAAGAAAATATCCGATATTTCCGATATTGCCCAGGATTTGTACGAAAGATTATGCCATTCCAGGGACTGATGTAACAATCGAGAAAAATGCGTTTATAATGGTTACAAATTTTGGTATTCAATATGATCCTAGATATTATCCCGATCCTATGAAGTTTGATCCTGAAAGATTTACGGATGAAAATAAAGCGAAACGTCCTTACTGTTCTTACGCACCTTTTGGAGAAGGACCAAGAATTTGTGTTGGTAAGAATTATCTTTTTTAATAATTCCCTAACGATATTTTTTGAAACTTGTTTTGCAATTGCTTGAGTGATTGGATTTTCCAAATTTTCTCTGATTCCTTCAACGTTCTTGGCATTGCCTGAATATTTCTTTCACTTTGCATGTTTTGCATTAGATGACAAGTTTATGTAAATACTATGTAAATTGAAGGTTTGTAACTGTTTATACAGGGTAATCCAACAAGCGCGCCTCGGTCAATAGGAGCCAAACCGTTGAACTTATGGAAAAATGTTGTGTTTAAAAGTTTTAGCATTTTATCGCTGCAAAATTATTTTCAAGCATACAGGGTGTCTCAAAAAGGGGAGTAATCACAAATTTTATGTTTTCTTTAAATGGAATACCTTATGTTTTTATATGGCAAATGAAGCCTCTATATGCTCTGTATTCAACTTTAAAATCGTATTTGGGTTGAATGCAGCATTTCCAAGTTATGATTTTTCGAAGAAAAAAATAGACCAAAACATACTTTTCTAAAATTGTCATGTTATATTCGCCACTGTATATTAATTTCCCTTAAAAATTTACATGTAATCTAATTTTAGCCTAGTTACTCCTACACTACCTATCTTCATTTTTCGATTTAAGTATATAGGGTGTCCAAAATATTTGTCTAAACACGTCAAAATTTGAACGTTCCCTAAGTTCATCGGCTACAACGAGATTGGGACCTGAAAGTTTGAATCCGACGTTTCGTTTTCGGTGTGTCATCATCAACTTTCTATTTTTAAATGCTGAGATAGGATTTTTATGTTATTTTTCAATAAAAAAAAAAAAACATTTAATTGATGTTCAATCAGAAAAAGGTGGGGTGGTTTACCGAGGGAAATCATGGGTAAAGGCCGTTACCAATTTTTATAACTATTTTACATGTTAATGAGAAGGAAAGCAGATATTGTGAAAAGCCTGTTTTTTGGCGAAATTTTTCAATATGGCGGCGCGAGCGGCAAAAATACGAGGTGGCAAAGTAGAAATATGGAAAGAACACGTCTAAACCTAGGAAATTTTCAAAACTCCCGAAAAACTTTCCAGGTAAAACTACCAAATTACTTTACTTTTTACCGTTTTTTTGTGCAAAGTTAAGGGAAAATCTTAATATCTCAAAATATTAATGAGATAGATACGACAAATATGATATTTTCTGAAAGAGAACATTTCCAGCTCTTCGACAGAGAAATAATATACTTTGTCTTTGAAAAACTCAACTAAAATGGACTTTGAAATTGACGTGGTTAGACAAATATTTTGGACACCCTGTATAATTTAATCGAAAAATGAAGATAATGTAGAAAGAACTAGGCTAATATTAGATTACATGTAAATTTTTGAGGGAAATAGGTACATGTACAGTGGCGGACATATGACAATTTTAAAAAAGTAAGTTTTGGTCTATCTTTTTCTCCAAAAAATCATAATTTGGCAACGCTGCATTCAACCCAAATACGATTTTAATGTCGAATACGAAGCACATAGAGGCTTCATTTTCCACATAAAAACATACGGTATTCCATTAAAAAAAAAAAAAAAAAACATAAAATTTGTGATTACACTTTTTTTTGAGACACCCTGTATACTTCAAAACAATTTTGGGTTATAGCAGAGATGAAATGCTTAAACTTTTATACAGAACATTTTTCCATAAGTTCAACGGTTTGGCTACTATTGACCGAGGCGCGCTTGTTGGACTACCCTATATATAATGTTTACCTAAAATATTGAATATAGTGTTAGCATTTTACAGATTGGCAAAAAAGTCGCGCATAATACCTGTAACTTTTTAATTACCTCGTATACGAAAAAGTGACTCTAAAGAAAGTTGCTCAGTAAGTTATTTCCCATATTTCTACTAAAGATGAATTGTTTCTGTCACTTCTGGTTTGTTTGCTATGCAGACCAACTTTGTTTTTTCAAATGAAACACCCTGTATATGATTGCTTATTTGGATTCTATGTAAAATTCTGAGCAGATTTCATGTGATATATCCTACCTAAGTTCAACTGTTTTGGAAATAGTGACAGTTGAAACTTGACTATTTTGTAACTACTAACTTTGACAGGCTGTAAAACCTATTATTTTGATAAATTTTGGCCGTCTATTTTTATACCTTTTTTGTCCCAGTATAGATTTTTAGGCACATATTCCAGGACGGTATTAAACAGTTTTGGAAACATCGTATCTCCCTGGCGTAATCCTTTACCAATCCCTATAGGATTTGTGTTTTCATGTGGTTTTACCATAAGGGTGGCCTTTTTATATATATCTATATAGTAAATTATTTTGGTGTAGCGATAGTCAATACGGCATGGTTCCAGGCAGTGGCGCAGCCAGGAAGCCTTGCCCCCCCCCCAAGGTTTCAGAGAAAAATAGAAAAATAATGAAGTAGACGCAGCTAAAGCTGTAAACTATCAGTATATCAGAAAAAGTTTAAAGGAAAGTGGCTCTGTGTTTTTTCCTATAATTTTTTCTGCTTGTCCCCCCCCCTTGTAACCTTTGAAATGTTACATATTTATTGTTCTTAATTATTTTCATATATTTTGGACTCATTTAGTACTATTTCGTACACCTAGCGACATCTATGATTCGTGACTGCACTTATCCGAGTGAAAATTGACAAATTTGAGACCATACTGTTCTGCATCTCAGAGTAAATCTGGGGCCCCTTTTCAAGAAATGTTGGTATCCTGTAAGAAGTTGATCCCCAACCATTATTTGGTTGTCTCCAGCCAGTTTGGTACTTCCAGATCTCACGTTTGTGAAAACTTCCGAGGCTTTACAAGGATTCCGTCCAGGCTTGTATAATTATTTACCTTTGGGTGTCTTATGCGTGCCATTTTAATTACCTTAACTCTTTTTTACCTTTTCTCTTTCGCCCCCTATCGTTTAGCTCCATTATCTAATTAATATCTTTGTAAATTCAGTTACCGACTCGTTTACCGTATATGTAGTAGTATTTGGCCAGAAGACTTCATGAAAGTCTACAAAAGCAAGAACTGTTCTGACGCTTTGGAGATGATCGTTGGTTCCAAACCCACTTCGAAAACCGGCTTGTTCTACTGGCTGGAAAAAGCCCAGCTTCTTTTCAAGTCGCGTGGTAATTATTTCAACTTGGAGTAACTTTGTTGGATAATTACCAAGTCATAATATAGATATCCACATATCCATAAAGAGGGAGTGAAAAACCAGATATCTTCCATATTGGATCAAGGAATTATCAGACCAAGCCAGTCACCTTGGTCTTTCTCGATATGGATAGTTCCAAAAAAACCAGACGCGTCTGGAAAATAAAATGGCAGATAGCAGTGGACTATAGGAAAATAAATGATAAATACCCAATTCCAAACATAACAGACATCTTGGACAAACTTGGTAGATGCCATTACTTCACGATTTTGGATCTGGCAAGTGGTTTTCACCTCATCGAAATGGCTAACGAAGATATAAGTATGCAAAACTGCTTTCAATATCGAAAATGGCCATTACGAGTATGTCCGGATGCCATTTGGACTAAAAAACGCTCCAGCTACATTCCAGAGGGTAATGGATAATGTTTTGAAAGGCCTCCAAGAAAATTACTTGGTGTATATGGACGATATTATTATTGTGTTTAGCACATCACTTCAAGAGCACCTGGTTTATCTTTCAACGTCTCAAAGAAACTGGATTTAAAATTCAAATGGACAATTGCGAGTTCCTAAAAAAGGACGTTGCCTTTTTTGGACATATTATTACACCAGAAGGAATAAGACCAAATCCGGCTAAAATCAAAGCCATACTTGACTTTCCAATACCGCAAATCATGAAGGAAATCCAAGAATTTCTAGGCCTCCTTGTATATTGCAGGAAGTTTATTAAGGACTTTCCTGAAATTACTAAACCTCTAACTTTCTGCCTCAAAAAGGACGCTAAAATAGAACTGGCACCAGAATTTTCGAACTGCATTGAGACTTGCAAACATTAACTGACAAACCATCAACCTCTTCTGCAATATCCAGACTTCAGAAAGTCTTTCAATTTAACTACTGATGTTAGCAATTATGCAATTGGAGCTATATTATCCCAAGGACCAATCGGCAGCGATAAACCTATTGCATACGCCTCCAGGACACTCAACGAAACCAAGTTGAAATATCCACCATTGAAAAGGAAATGTTAGCTATAATCTGGGCCACCAAGTACTTCAGACCCTACTTGTTTGGGAGAAAATTCAAGATACTTTCAGATCTCCAATGGCTATTTTCCATAAAAGACAATAGTTCCAAAATAGTTAAATGGCGCCTAAAGCTGAAAGAGTTTGATTATGAGATAATCTATAAGAAAGCAAAATCAAACATTAATGCAAATGCTCTGTCCAGAGTCGAAATCCACACCAAAGAAATAGCCCAACCACCACAAGACGAAGATAATGAATCTTTATATAACAAAATGCAGTCATAGACGAAGTTCTAGGGAAACCCGCTTCGCAAGCAAAGATACAAAAGGTCATCAGTGAAATTCTTGATAATTCAGAACCCACACAAGCCGACCCGGAAAAAGATAACGAAACTAGACACACTGCCCAGGATGAACCTATATTCGGCATTCCAATTAGTGAAAGGGCCCTTAACTACTACAATAACCAAATTGTACACAAGTCTGTTAATTATAATTCAGCAAAGCCGATAATAGAAGTAGGCTTCCCTAAGCTTAGGAGTATGCAATATCCTTAAAGAAACTTTTAAAAATTCTGCAGTCAACTTTCTCCTAAAAGACGTCAATAGCAAAGAAAGACACAGTGAATGTGAAATAATCCACGCCTGCCATCAAGAAAAAAAAGATCATCGAGCGCAAATTCGAAGAAAATATTACTGGCTTAACCTCAAACGAGATATTGAAAATAACATAAATGTTTGCGACACCTGTCAGTCAAACAAATACGATAGGAATCCAGCCAAACTTATATTCATGATAACTCCAACATCGACTAGACCTTTGGAAATTATTCATCTAGATACCTTTCAAGCCGGAGGGCAAATTTTTTTAACAATATAGACAAGCCTACCCCATAGAGGGATCAAATTCAGTGTATCTTCTTAATACCCTTTTAATCTTCATAACTCATCATGGAATACTACACATAACAGTCACCGATAGTGGAAGAATGGACCTATACAAGAATTTATAGATACACATAAGATATCTATCCATTATACTACCTCTGATAACCCACAATCCAACGGGATGATAGGAAGATTTCACTCCCCCATTATTGAACACCAAATCTGCAACGAATTTCGCAAAATATTAAACCAATTCCAATTTTCCCGCCTCCTAAATTTCAAATTTTGCGAATTCGCAAAATATTGAACTCTGACAGATGTCCCTTTTCTTGACAGTGAATTGACCAATAGGAGCGGCCGCAATTCGCAATTCGTGATTCGCATCTATATGAACTACGCTATATAAGGGCTTCACAGAGTTTTTGAAAAATTAAAAATGCCAACCTGACAGTCTCCAGTCTCCCAAAGAGAAATGTGAATTTTGTAGACCAGAGTTACGTTATTTAGGATATAGTATAGACAATAAATTAATTTTGGAATCTTACAGCTCTTTTTTGAATATATACATAAAAATAATGTTTTACAGAGGAGGGCAACTCACATATTTGCTTCCCCTCAGAAAATTCGTAGATCCGGCCCTGTTAGCCAGAGGTGCTTTCCCAAGGTGGCGATACTAGCACTGGGGAGATTTGACTCCAGTGGGGCGTTCCCAGGCAGTGTTGCCAACTATATGAATAGCCATTTTACCAGATTATAAAACTTGGAGTACCAGAATATTACTAGATTTTTCTCAATCCTACCAATACCAGAATATTACTAGATTTAGTAGACTTTGGTAAAGTCTATTTTTTCGAAGTTTTACCCAGGTGATTGACCGAAACTGAAGCATAAGTAGTGAAATTGGATAACACATGTGACATATGTTTCGCAGTCTAGCCCTCCTAAACCTTTGAAAAATTGTTTCTAATTCAAATATAATTCACTTCCTAGGATAGTATATGTAAACTAGGGTCAAAATACCCTCGTATTGTGCTTTTGTAGAATGTAAAAATAATGCCGCCGAATATACAGTATGAACGTAAATGAATGTCTTTATAAACTATTAAACAGCAAATCAAACAAAAATTATACCTAACTAAAACACCGAAAAAATATCAAAAGAAGAAAGCATGACACTCCAACTCCATATAAACACATGGGATAAGGTTAGTTTGTCTTACCTTCAGTTTGAATTTAGTGACGTCTCGTGCACGAAACCAATGGATATATTGACAGGTCACCTGGATGTGCAGGATCTGTTTGTCTATATGATCCGTTTTACGTTGACGTCGCAAAAACACTTAATAATAATTATACCCATCAACACAGGGAAAACACGAAGGCTATCTACAGGAAATTGAATCAAAGGCTACATGATTCCAAAGAAAACTACATGGGAAAAAGAAACATAACCAGGCAAACCCCCGTCACCTATAAACCTAGCATGAAGATTTACACCGGGAAAACTGTAAAGCGGAACAAACTACTTCCAAGATTCTCTTCCAAGACAGTTAACACTGACAATATTGTGACCACTGACAGTCAAGACACGACAATACATAAGAAGAATATTGGAAATCTTCCAGGAAATTACTCTAGGAATTCCTTACAGATGTTCGTTCAGAACCTTCTAATTCAGGACCTGACGGACAATCCAGGAATACTTCCCCACAAGCTGGGACAAGCAAGGATTCAAAGTAATACCCACAACTTCATTCACTTTGTTGACCTCTTTCCAGTAATTGAGGAAATGGAAGAACAATACGAGACAACAATAAAAAATGGACTGCGTCACCCACAGTTCAAACGCGTGCAAAATTTCGATCAAAGTCTACTGTTTCTGTTAAAAGCCGCCAAAGAAAAACTTCTTACCATCATACCTATTCAAAGATACAGAAGAGGAGTTTTCAGTGTTATTTTAAAATTATATCCCTGGAAACGTGGACCACGAAGATGCCCAAAGGTACGACGCCGTAATCGCAACATTAAAACATAGCCAAGAGAATATCATCTCCCTAGTGAATCAGCGGATGAGTCTTAACAGCAAAATAATGGAAAACTTCAACCAAACGATTATCCTCATAACTCACAATGAAGAAACTATAGAAAAAAAGCGAACAAAATTAACTCCGAACTAAGTAAACTCATGTTCGACTTTACCCATTTTCTACAAGCTAGAAACGTTTTAGATCAGCTGAACTTAGCCCTCCAAGTCATCTTGTAAATCCTCAACGATTTCGAGGTAGCTATAGCATTTGCAAAAACAAACACTCTTCATAATTCTCTTATCAAACCCGACGAACTGAAATGAGCCGTTATAAGAAGATGCTCAAACACTTTTCCGAAATCCAGCTTCCTTATATCTACGAAAAAATAATGAGCATTGATGGATACTTCTTAAACCACACTATGGTCTTCATTCTGCATTTCCCAATTCTATCACCAGAAATTTTCACATATTTACATCTTTACTGAATACCCACTACATACCACCATAATTTCTCCAGCTCCCTATTTGGCCCTGAGCAAAAATTTATTCCAATACACGAAAGTTCCATGCCGAATACCTATGGCACGAAAGATTCTTACAAAATAGCAACCAAGATTGTATATAAGCCAAATATTCCAAATAAACAACTGCGAAGCAACTTGCCGGCAAATACTTGTGTCAATCAACACCACGTTAATACAAGATCCATCCGATGTTCATTATATAGCCATATTTCCTAGGCCTACGAAAGTATCAACTCGTTGCCTAAAAACCAAGATAATAATTCTCAAAGGAGTATTCTTGATCAGCAAAATAGTAAACCAGTGGCAGTAGCAAATTACCACCTTTAATCAGGGGCGCAACAAGTACCAGAAGTAAAATAGCACACACAACTCCTGAAAAGACAGTCAGCCAGAACGAAGGTCAGTCGCACAGCAGAACAAACCACTGTGACAGTTCAAAAACCAGTACGATTGTCCACAAGTCAGTGGGACAATTAAACAAACCATAGGACTGCTCACCAACTAGTAAGACAACCCATAAGCCACTATATGTCTTTAAGCCATACGACTGTCCACAAGGCAATGGGACAATTGAACAATCCATGGGACTGTTCAACAACCAGCAAGGCAGCCCATAAAACCACTAGAACAGTCTACAAGTCACCACAACTACCCACAAGCCAGTGAGACAGCCAATAAAGTACTACCACTTCCAACAAGTCACTCTGCCCACAAGCAAGTTGGCACACGCAGAATCCAGTAATTTACATATCACAACAGACCAAACCAGTCGACGAATCCGAACGAAGAAGAAGCTGTAATTTTAAGAATTTTTAAGTTTTTCAAACTGTAAGCAAGATGAATGAGAAAATTCTAATCCAAGAAGAACCATAAGATAAAGCCTCTGAAACTTTCCCGGGTATCCCTGGATGAACTTCACAAATTAATAAGGGCAGAAAAACATCTCGAACCAATCGAAACGCAATCAACAAGTAACTCACACTTAGTATATTTTAGGCACGATTCTGGTAATAGTTGATTTTTACCAACTGAAACAAAGATGGAACCTGGGAAGAAGAAAGATTTCAAACAAGAACCAATGGAAGAAACAAGTCCCGAAGAAGAGGAACCAACAGTTTTGTTCGTCCCTTAGGAAACTTCCTCCGGGAAGGGAAAAATTACGGATAAATAACCCCATATACCACCGAATATCATTGAACTCATGACTCAGCAGCGACAACTCGATATAACCTAATTTCGATTAAATCTCTATTTTTATAAACACCATGTAACTTGAGCAATAATTTTTTGGTGCATTAATTTCGGAACACCCTGTATATATAAAAATCAAAGTTCACGGGGTATCCGGATATGTGCTCCAAAACCACTTATCCGATTACGATGAAACTTTGGTAGGTTGTTATGGCCATCCCAAGGAAGGTTTGTGGATAGGTTACGCATCTCGAAAAAAGAAATTAATTTTGAATTAATTATTAATTTAATTGTAAACAAACTCATTCACATTACATAACAACATAACCCAACTTTTTGTGACATGAAATAACGTTGCCATATTTCATTTATTTAGGCTTGCATTCAACCGACGTAACTTTATTATTTTTTGAATTCAAGAATGACTGGACCGATCTTGAATTAATACCACGTATCTCTATATAAGGTGAATTCGATTAACCCAGATTAGATCGATTTGGGTTCAATTTAAGTGAACTTCTTCTGATCTAGATCATTTTTTTGTTGATGAGGGTGCACTGATCCAGCTTGAATCGTGGTTCATTTAAATTGAACCAGATCGATCTAATCCGGTCAATCGAATCGGCTATAGAGGAGAGTGATATAGGCTATTTTTTATCCCGAAAAAAAAAAATTCTATTGTGTAAAACTCTGATACACTGGAACGCCTATAAACAGCCCGGGGCGCTCTAGAGCAGCTCTGGAGTGCTTAAAATGCGTCCTGAACTCACTTGCAAGCGACTCTGATATCGGATTTTAAAAAAAAATAAATAAATAAAAAATCAACAACAAAATTTGAAAAGAAGTGTATTATTTCGAAATGTATTTACACGCTGGCAACGCAGCGGGTCATTAGCTAGTTCTCTATAAAAATCCCAAGTTTTGTGAAACATCCCTTACTGCTTTTCCTTTGGTTGTGTAAAAAAATAAGTAAATAATAATTTCTTATATTAAACTTTTTTTTTTGTAGGTAAACGTTTCGGCATCTGGCAAACCAAAATAGGCTTAGCTGCAATCATTAAAAACTACAATGTTACTCTGAGCAAAAAAATGAAGTTACCTTTCACTTTGGAACCTTCTGGATTGGTTTTAAGAGCCAAAGGAGATGTTTGGTTGGATTTTGAAAAAATAAATACCAATTAATATTTTATACCTACTAAGTTAAAATTGTATCAATAAATCCTATTTTTTTTTAAATAAAAAGTCTTATTTCACTATTGGAATTGTATAAAAGTTTAAATCACCCCTTTAGGAAAACGAAGTAGCAAAAAATAGTCCATTCGATGTTTCAGCAAGAAAAATAAGTTGGATTTCAGAGTGCACACACATATGGGAGCTGCCTGAACTTGATGGAAGTTTAATTTTCCACTTTATTGCTTTATATATCTCTCTATATATAGGAAAAATCCGTTTTATTTATTTTTAGATTTATTGTTAAACAAAATTCAAAAAAAAACAAGCATTGATGATAATAAAATTGAGTTGGAGCGACAAAGAAAATGTGACATTTTTGGCTAAATTGATTAGAGCACAAAATATTTCTTAGACGAAATATGTATGTACAGTTTAAATTAACGCCGAATTGGTCCCTCAACACGCATTTCCTACAAATGGCGACAATATTTCCGATTTCCCGTTCCGTTTTATCTTCCTCCTCTTCTGTTTGCTCCTGCACTGATCGTCTTATTTCACGGTTCGCTAAACTCCAATTGCCCATCCTTTGCTTTTACCTTGTCTACATACATTTTTCCCCAAAAAGAAGCCTATCAAATAAAGAAAAACGATGCTCTATATTTTCCAGTCTTTTTCGCTTTCAAGAAAACCGTCTTTAACATTTTGTGATTAGAAATTTACGAGAAATGTCATTGGTATACAATTTTACATCCAATTTGAGACAATTTTGGTTGGATAAACTGATATTCATATCAGTGAACCAAAAATTAAGTGGTAAACAAGCACGAGTTCTATTCCAAAAACATTGTACTGTTTGTGGATGAATTTACTCACTATTGTGTTACATATTTAATGAGTCATAAGTCAGATGTATTTTGTATGTTTCAAGATTTAGTTGCTGAAAGTGAGGCACATTTTAATTTACAGATTTTCAATGTATTCTGTGACAATGAATGTGAATATATAACTACTGAAATGAGAGATTTTTTGTATGCAAAAAGGTAAGTCATCATTTGACAATTCCAAAAGCTTTAAAAGAATTTGAAACGCCATACGAAATGTGGCGTAGTAAAAAGTCCATAAGTGTTTGGTTCCATAATACCGTTTATATACATAATAAAACCAGAAAAACAAAATTTGATATCAAATCCTGGAGAGCCAGACTGGTTGGTTATGAACCAAATGAATATAAAGTGTGAGATGTGGATAATAATAGGTTTGTTGTAGTTAGAGATATTATTGTGGATATTACAAATTAGTTTTTGTCGTCCAAGCCTTCTAATCTGCATAAAGCTGATTCCTCTGAATGTTTGTCAAGATTAGTAGATAATAATAAGCTTAAAAAAGTGGTTATAGAACACTTTGATGAAAAAGCTGATTCTTCTGACTGTTTATCAAGATCATTAATCATAATCTTTGAAAAGTAAATGCAGAACACTTATGGTCACAAAGCTGATTCCTCTGACTGTTTGTCAAGATCAGTAGTTGATAATAAGCTTGAAAAAGTGAACATAGAATAAGCTTGAAAAGTAAATGTAGAACTTTTACGGTCATAAAGTTGATTCCTTTGACTGTTTGTCAATATCAGTAGTAGTTAATAGTTAGTTTGAAAAAGTGAATATAGAACACTTTCACTATAAAGCTGATTTCTCTGACTGTTTGTCAATATCAGTCGTTAGTTAATGGTAAGTTTGAAAAAGTGAATATAAAACACTTCGATGATAAAGTTGTTTCCTCTAACTGTTTCACAATATCAGTAGTTAATAGTAAGTTTGAAAAAGTGAATATAGAACACTTTAATTATAAAGCTGATTTCTCTGACTGTTTGTCAATATCAGTGGTTGGTTAATGGTAAGTGTGAAAAAGTAAATATAGAACACATTGATGATAAAGCTGTTTCCTTTAACTGTTTGTCAATATCACTAGTTAATAGTAAGTTTGTAAAAGTGAATATAGAACGCTTTGATGATAAAGCTGTTTTCTCTGACTGTCAAGATCAGTAGTTAATGATAAACTTTAAAAAAATGAATTTATAACACTTTGGTAATAAAACTGATTTCTCTGACAATTTGTCAAGATCGGTAGTTAATAAATCTGATATAGCTGAATCAGATGAGCAACAATCCAGAAAAGTAGTTAACTGTTAACCCTAACAAACTTATCAACTTAATGATATCTGTAAATCTGTAGTTAAAACAGATCTGCCAAATGATATTCATTCATTATTGGTAAATAAAACGTGGTAGTTAGTATCGAGACCTGCAAATAAAAATATAGTGGATTGTGTGGACAATTTAACCTTTTAGTACATCATATGGATGTAAAAACAGCTTTCCCGAATGGGACATTGAAGAAAGCCATTTTTATGAAGGTTCCTGAAGGCTGAAGGGTGACTGGCTCAAGGAGTGATAAGTAAACCTCCTAATCAAGTTTATAAGGCTCTGTATCTATGGACTAAAATAAACCACTAGATGTTGGTTTGAAATGATAGTAAAGGTTCTTGAAGAAAATTTGGTTGAAAATGCATCAGTTAACCACTGTATTTAATATCTTAGACAAAGGTGCAATATGTTGAAATATTCATATAGTTCTTTATGTAGATGGTAATTGCCACTGCAGTAAAATACCTAATACATTTAATAGTTTCAAAAAGTATTTGGCAAATAACTGTTCTATGATTTATTTGTAATTTGAAAGGCAGTAAATTATTTTTGGGTATTAAAATTAAAAACTAATCAAAAATAAAATTACTCTTGATCAATTTTCACATAGGTGCATAAAAAAACTATTTAACATAAATTTAATATGTATGACAGCTGTGTCAGCACTCCGCTTCCTAGTAAACTGAATTTGATTAGTTTAAATTCAGAAGAAAAATATGATAGCCCTTGCCGTAATCTAATCGACTGTTTAATGTATATTATGTTAAGTATACGAAGCCTGATTTAAGTACCGCTGTTAATATTTTGAGCAGGTATCAAAACAAAAATAATAAAGAGCTTTGGCATGATTTGAAAAGGGTTCTTAGATATCTAAGGGGTAAAATCAATGTAAAGTTGACACAATATTTTAGATGTGAATATATCAATTTCTTGAGTGATTATATTGATCTTGACTAGGGAGGTTGAGATAATATAAACAATATGAGAAGCACAACAGGATATTTATTTAAACTGTTTGATAATTGTGTGATATGTTGGAATACAAAAAGGCAGTTGTCAGTAGCGGCATCATCTACTGAAGCCGAATATATGGCTTTCTTTTTGAAACTGTCACAGAGGCTCTTTGGTTAAAATCATTAGTAGAGAACATATATAAATATTAGTATCAGAGCCAATTATGACCTAGGAGGACAACAATGGTTGCAAATAATCCAACAAATCGCAAAAGATCGAATCATATTGATACAAAGTATCATTTTTCAATGAACAGATAGAGAAAGGTGTAATTAATATAGAATATTTGTCCACAGAGAAACAACTAGCAGTTCTACGCTGTGTTCGATATAATAAAAATATTGAGAATCTATAATTATTAGTAAATTCTTTTATTTCTTAGTTCATTTCCCAATCGTTTTTCTCCAAATCAAGTGTTTTTCTGAATTATCAACTTTCCGGATTATTGGAGTTGGGAGACAAACAGACATCAAAATGAAACTTCCCTCTGAAGTATTTTCGTTCAATTACTCCCCCTATAATCAAATATTTTGTCTCAAAATGAAAATAATTGCTGGACAACTTTGAGTTTAACTTTACTGAAGGCAAAGAGGAAACAGCAATTTTAATAATAAATATCCATTAGTGTATATTAAAGGCAAATCCTATGAGACCATCCCAGGAAGGAATTAAAACCGATTTGTTAAATTAAGTAAAATTTATTATGGCTTAAATAATACAATCTTGTGTATATTAAACAAAACACAAAGGATTATTTATTTAATGTATTTATTATTAAAAAAATTAGGGACAATCGAACATTTTCCAGTTTTTGATTGATGATAATAATGTCTGAAAAACAAAGCAAATACAAGATAATATATCAATGAATATAGAACAATGAATTGATTTTATCTGATTAATATTACGTCAATAGGAAAAACATATAAATTTACAACAATCAATATTCGTGTTTATTTCCAAAACAAAAATGAAATTCGCTATAGCTTTCCTAGCTATTGCAGCTGTAGCTCAAGCTGCAAACGTGAAGCTTCATCCGCTTTCAGATGAAAATATCGCCTTGATCAACCAAAAGGCGAAAACTTGGAAAGCAGGCAGAAACTTCGCGATCGAAGACTGGGAAAAAGTCAAGAAAATCGCCACCGGTGTTTTGCCTGGTAAACCGGTACTCGCACGATCAGTTCAGAGCAATCCTCATAATGAAAACGAAGATGTTCCAGACAGTTTTGATGCTAGAGAAGCTTGGCCAAAATGTGATTCGATTAGACAAATCAGGGATCAATCTAGTTGTGGATCTTGTTGGGTAAGATTTGATCATTTATATTGTTTTAGGATCAAAAATAGATTCTCAATTGCCTGTATTATTTTCTATCAACGTTGATCGTCGGAATTTTCTAGTAGAAAATGCTATTGTGTTCTCGAATTTCTCCAGATATACTTCTTCATTTGAGAATGCTGAATAGGAAGTAGGGTAGGTTAGGTCATTAGTACCTACCTTATGATTTAGATTTTGGAAAACTTTGAAAGGTCATAACTTTGTTTCTGTTATAGATAGAAAGCTGAAAGTTTCACTGAATTTTATCCCTTTCATAGGACTACAATCCCTGAACATTTCAGCTCATTTGCACTTATAGTTCCTAAGATAAAATCGTGTTAAGCAATTTGGGGTGATTTATCAATTTTTCAATTTTTCTGAGTTCCTTTTTTCATAGATTTAGACTTCAAATCTGGAGAATAGTTCATATTATGGAGTTTGGGGTATGTTGATTGATTGTTTTCCAAGAATTTTCAGAGAATTTCTGCTTAATTTGGGACCAAAATCCCATTAAAAATAGTAATATTTTCAAATTTTTAAGGTTATTTTTATCATGCGGCAACATCGCTTGCTCAATCAAGCAAGCCTTGCAATAACATCAGGGGCCAGTAATACAAAACTCTGTAATACTTTCGCACTGACAACATTGGGCCGGTAATACAGAGCTCTAATATTTTGACAATATTTTATCTACATTTGACTTCTAGAATCTATGACGTTGCCAATATTATGTGTGGAATTTGAAAAGTAGGCGAATAATTTCGAGAGAAAATCAATCTAAATGTATCAAACAAGGACAAATATATTATCCAAAAATAGTTTTTGGTAATTGCCGCCATATTGGTGTGTTACCATTGTCGACGTCATAATTAAGTCCTCAGGTGTTTGAACCTTAGGTTTAAACAACCTACGTCAAAAAATAACATGCTGCCTACGTTACAACTGGTGATTTGGCATTATGGGGGGAAAGAGAGAATTTGTTCCACACAGGCCTTATGAAGATAGGCCCATCCTGTAGTAGTAGTGTGTATCATCCTTGATCGTAATATATGTTTCCAAAGCCTACTTGGTTTGATAAATCTTACGCTTACAGTTATCTGTATTATCGACATCGATTTAAACCAGGGTTGGTTTCAAGGCCCCCTAAGTTTTTGATAAGTAGTAATCTCGTCTTTTTGGTGTCAACTGTCAAAAAAAAAAAACAAGGCCTATTTTGAAACCTCAGTTTCTTGACATTTGTTGGGCTATGAGCGGTGTTGCCATAAATTGCGAGCTCGCAGAGCCAGAGTTTTTTTAGGGCCGGGATTTTTTTAAATGACGAGTTTATAGGGCAAGAGTAATACGCATGAATATTTATAAAACTTTCGCCCTTCGGGCTCGGAATTCGAAAAAACCCCGGCCCTGCAGGCTCGCAATTTGAAAAAAAGAAATTGGCAACACCGCTCCCTCGCCCTTCGGGCTCGGAATTGAAAAAACTCCGGCCCTGCGGGCTCGCAATTTGAAAAAAAATATATGGCAACACCGCTCATAACACAACAAACGTCAAAAAAACGACGTTCCAGAGTAGGTCCTTGTTGATACCAAAATGATGTTTTTAATTGTAGCCATGTTCGTTTTTGTCATCTTTTTCGTCGATTTACTCCGAAATTTTGACAGGCACGTGATTTGTATATTGAAACTGTCTAATCCAGTCACGTGCCTGTCAAAATTTCGGAGCAAATCGACGAAAAAGATGACAAAAACGAACACGGCTTGTATAAAAATAATTCAAAATGGCCGACTGTCAAAAGTGACAAATGACATTACAAGGCTTACTTGATCGGAAGCCACAATTACAATCTCGAACGTAATGTTTTTTCAGATTTCAGTGAATAAGACAAAGAAAGAGATAAATTTGCAAAAACACTAAATGAGTGAAACAAAGAGGGAGATAAAGTAGGATGCAATTCGTGTTCAGTTTGTTTGAAAGAAGCAAAAAAAAAGATGTCAAGTCAAAGTCTTGTCGTTTTCTGATTAAAAAGGTTTTGCGTTTTTATAATAGAAATGTCAACCGGTGAACCTCAAATCGTATTTTGTCTCTGTTTGTTTGCATACAATAAACGAGGACAAACATATTTTTTTTTTTTGCTGAAAATTTTCAATTAATAAATGCCTAATTATGACACAGAAATGACGTTTTATAAAGTAGGCTTTGACAGTTGACATTAAAATGATGTTTTTCTAATCCTAAATATTGTTAATCATTTTCATTTAATTTGCATTATTTTCGACAAATGTCTGTCGTCACAACGTTTACAAATGCCTCAAATTGCCGTTTTAAAATGTGGCAACGTTGCTGTAAGTTTCAATCTAATTTGACTGTCATATGTCAAAAGTTACGTAGGCTTGTCAATTGTCAAAAAAAATAAATTAGTGATTATTCCAGGCGTTTGAACTGAGTGATTTGCATCAGAATCGTGACAAACTCAGCAGTTAAATCGTATCCTACTTTATCTCGCTCTTTGTCTTACTCATTTATAATTGTTTTTGGTTTTTTACAAATGTGTTCTACCTTATCTTCTTCTTTTTTTTACTCACTAACATTTGGAAAATCATTATGTTTGAGATCGTGTTAAGCAATTGAAATCTGAAATTTCATCGTTTTAGTAAAAAGGTACCTACCTTATGATTTGGATTTTGGAAAACTTTGAAAGGTCATAACTTTTTTTCTATTATAGATAGAAAGCTGAAACTTTCACTGATTTTAATCCCTTCCAATGGACTATAATCCCTGAAAATTTCAAAATTTCAGCTAATTTGCACTTATAGTTCCTGAGATAAAATCGTGTTAAGCAATTTGGGGTGATTTATCAATTTTTCAATTTTTCTGAGTGCCTTTTTTCATAGATTTCGGCTTCAAATCTGAGAATAATTTATTGTATGGAGTTTGAGGTATATTGATTGACCATTAGGATACAAAATCTCGACAAAAAAAAATTTGAAATTTCATCGTTTTAGTAAGAAGGTACCTACCTTATGATTTACATTTTGGAAAACTTTGAAGGGTCATAACTTTTTTCTATTATAGATAGAAAGCTGAAACTTTCACTGATTTTAATCCCTTTCAATGGACTACAATCTCTGAAAATTTCAGCTAATTTGCACTTATAGTTCCTGAGATAAAATCGTGTTAAGCAATTTGGGGTGATTTATCAATTTTTCAATTTTTCTGAGTGCCTTTTTTCATAGATTTCGGCTTCAAATTTGAGAATAATTTATTGTATGGAGTTTGAGGTATATTGATTGACCATTAGGATACAAAATCTCAACAAAAAAAAAATTGAAATTTCATCGTTTTAGTAAGAAGGTACCTACCTTATGATTTAAATTTTGGAAAACTTTGAAGGGTCATAACTTTTTTTCTATTATAGATAGAAAGCTGAAACTTTCACTGATTTTAATCCCTTTCAATGGACTACAATCCCTGAAAATTTCAGCTAATTTGCACTTATAGTTCCTGAGATAAAATCGTGTTAAGCAATTTGGGGTGATTTATCAATTTTTCAATTTTTCTGAGTGCCTTTTTTCATAGATTTCGGCTTCAAATCTAAGAATAATTTATTGTATGGAGTTTGAGGTATACTATTAGGATACAAAATCTCGATAAAAAAAAATTGAAATTTCAAGAAAGGTACTTATATACTTTCAAAAAACTCGATATTTAAATTTTTATGTTTTTCGAATTTTCCAATAAATAGAGCGAGTTTGAATTAATCTAAAAAAACCCTAACATCATTCCCAAATGAACAATTTAAAGGACAAAAAAAAAAAAATAATTTTTTAGTTCAAATCATGATCTCATTACCTGAGAGTTTATCAGAAGATGAATCAACCAAGCCTTAACATTAAACAAAATCAAATTCTAGGCATTTGGTGCTGCCGAAGCAATGTCAGACAGAATCTGCATCCATTCCAACCAAACTCAACAAGTCTACGTTTCCACCGAAGACTTGAACTCCTGCTGTTCCGAATGCGGATACGGTTGCGACGGTGGTTACGTGGTTTCAACCTTCTACTACTGGGAAGAGACCGGTATCGTGACTGGAGGTCTTTACAATTCATCTCAAGGATGCAAAGATTATTCTCTACAGCCCTGTGAACATCACGTTGATGAAGGCAAAAGGCCTCAATGTGATTCTTTGGAAATGACTACGCCTGCTTGTGTGAAGACTTGCTACGATAGCTCTTTGGATTATAAAAAGTCTCTAACTTTCGGTAAAAATGTGGCCCAATTTGAAAACGAAAAGCAAATGCAGATTGAAATAATGAAAAATGGACCTATTGAGGCTTCGTTTGAAGTCTACGAAGATTTCCTTAGTTATAAATCAGGTAAAATTAAAATTATCTTACACACTTATACACATTAATAAAAAAAATTGTTTTATAGGTGTTTACCAAGCGACTAGTGAAACTTATTTGGGTGGCCACGCCATCAAAATCTTGGGCTGGGGGGTCGAAGATGGTACCAAATATTGGTTGGTTGCCAATTCGTGGAATTCCGACTGGGGTGACAATGGTTATTTCAAAATTCTTCGTGGAGAAAATCATTGTGATATCGAAAGTGACGGTGCAGGTGCCATTCCTGTTTTGTAAAATATTTTTGAGTAAATAAAACTATGTTGTTGTATAAATGTGTTGGAAAGTTTTATCTAAAGCCATATACTGGGTTTAAAATGGAGGGTGATAACGTAGCACACAGTTTCGTCCATTAGCTAATAGGTGTCTGGAGAGAAATGCGCGGAAAATTTAGAATAATGCAAAGTTTGGCTGCAAGATTTTGTTACTTACATCAAACTAAAATGCCATAGATTGAACTTTTGTCTTAGGTCTAGGTAAAAAGAGCATTTTATTGTCTTGGATAGAATAGATAAGATTTTAAATATTATTAATACATTGACACCAAACCCTTTTTATATTGTATAAGTTTAAAAAGGCTTCGAAATCAAATTCCAGAAGAATTGATTCAGGATTTAGGACCCAGAGATTCTTCCAGTCTTCTCTAGATCTTTCAGAGTTTTGTCATGAAAACACCAACGAATTCTCAAAGTTTTCAATATTTAGGATCTTAGCCTTTTCAAAGAAAATCCTTTGCGAAGAAAAATTCAATATGTGCAGATCCTTAAAATCGAATTTCGAAGAAGAACACAATATTTCCAAAAACACAATTAGAATTTGAGAGGTTTAAGGATCTTTAGAACCGTCTTATTGAAGTTGAGTTTCAGAAAATTTGCAGAGGAATCACTCAAGATTCAGAATTTTGAGATTTTCATGGAGAAAATACAAGATATTTGTAGAGCAAGGACTTTAGGGTTTGAAGTTTCTAAAAAAACGTGAAACATATTTCAAGTTTTGCAGAATTGGGAACTCCGTGGAGTCTTCTTGAAGAATAACAGAACATTTGCAATAGAACGATCCAGGATTTTGAGACTCAAGTAACTTCCTCTTAGAAGAACAAAAAAACAGGTGTCCGAAAAATAGCGTAAAAAGTAGAGGACCCTTTGAGAAACACTAGAAAAATAATTAAATTAAAAAAATCCTTCTCCAGCATTATTCTTGGTGATATGAAGAGGTAGATGTGAAAATTCACCTTCGAATTCTTCAGGTGGTTACATGGGTATTTAATTTAATTCTCTGACATATTATCAACGGGATATTTTCAGTGTTGCCAATTTTAATAAATATTAAAATGCAAATAGCTTCCTTAAGAATGCCACTAGATTTTTTAAAGTATTTTTCTGGGGTTCCTTGTAGGGTCCTCTAGTACGTAGAGAAGAGTTTTTACGCTATTTTTTGGACACCTTGTATTTCGAGACCAGAAGAGACCACTCGAAACGAGACGAGACGACACCACTCGAGACGAGACGAGACTTTGGTACTCGAGACCGAGACTAAATCACGGTCTCGTTTCGAGATCTCAAGACGAGACGAACCCAACCCTAAGTCTCGTCTAGTCTCGTCTCGCGGTACCACTAGTTTTTCGATACCGAGGGTAAATCTCTAGATCGGCGGCGGCTTTGATCTGAAATTTTGGGAATTTAACCCGGGCCAACCCCAAAGTTTGTGAATCTGGTGGACCATTCACGTAGTAGATATTGGTCTGATAGCCGGGGGCACATGAGCCTGGGAAGTTTTTCGATACCGTGGCAAAATCTCTAAATCGACGGCACCTTTGATCTGAAATTTTGGGGATTTGACGAATACAAATGAAAGAATATTCTTAAGTTTTCAAAAAGTGGAGGGATATAAAAAAGTGCCTCCTCCAGGGTGGGAGCTTCACGGAAGGGGGTTTACAGTGTAGGTGGGTAGTGGTATGATGGTTGTGCTGGAGAGGGTTTTTTACGTGGTAGAGGTGGGTATTGGTCTGATAGCTGTGAAAACACAAGTTATGCAATCCCTGAAAATTTCATCTCATTTGGACTAGAGAATTAAAACATTAAATTCAAATGCTAATTTTGGAAATGTATATTACCAAAAAACTCAATCTGATCAATTTTCTGGAAACAAGAATCAGGCATAATAACAAATCTCAAAGCTTTTTACATTTCATCCACAATCATACTTTACAAAGTCTCCATGTTTTATTATACGGAACAGTCAGCAGTATATCTCGGTTTCACTCCGGTTTTCAGCTGGCTTGTTCCCTTTTCTTTTACTGCCGCAATATTTTCCATAAGAAAAGTAATTTGAACAGCTCCGGTAATTGTTCCGACAAAGTCGTACAATCAGAGTAATGAAGCAGTTAATAACTCTAAACCGCATCCGGGGCCCTTTTGCGAATGGGAAGATTTAAAATGTTTCCAGAAATAATTTCTTGGCTGCTACACTACTTGGAAATAAGTTCTAACTTGGGCGGAGATTAATTAAGTGTTTTGTTGTATGTAACTACAAAATTCCAAAAAAAAAACCTGGAAAATCAGTACAGTAACAATTATAGCAGCATCTGTAGTAACGTTGTGTAACAAATTATCGAAAAGGATATTAGAAAACTTTTGCCGCATTGGACCATAAACTTGGCCGTGTGGCGCAAATCGTTGTTCTGTGAATATTCCAGTAGATTTGCGAGCCCACTGGCTGTTTGATGCACGTGGAGGAAATTAGTCAAGTTGGGGAACGTTTGGGAATAATGGTCGCCCTGTCAACCCCTCTGGCCCGTAAATTATTTGATACATACTATATATGGCCGTATATATGCTCCTGCTTTTATCGTTCCAATGAATTATGAGCTGATGATGAAGCCAAAGGCTTTTGTTTAAACTAACTTTATGTTTTACAATGAAAGTTAAACCCAGTGGGATTTTATTGAATTTTAGCTACCATCCTAGACTTTTAATGATGTTGTAAATCCTGATGGACACTGGCAAACTTTGTGATAGCTTTTATGTAAAATTTATTTTGAACAGGTACATTGTTGAATTTTTGAGACAATTACTCCAAAAGCATGTTATTCCCTAATGAAGACAAATAGAAGACTATCAAAAACATATTACCATCCTTCTTGTATCTATTGCTCCCCATCAATCACCCTTTTCTCTCGAGACGGTGCACGTGCCAACTTTAATCACTTAACAGGCTATAGAATTTTCTATAGGACAGATACTTGTTTTTCCAAATTTAATTAAAATATATGTATTTTGCAATGCAGCTAATGAGCAATAAAACCCTAATCCTAGAGGATTAAAACAAATTTTACGATGTCTATTCCGGTAATTCCCAAACTTACTATACTCAGGGTCTAGTACTGTTTTAATTAACTTTGTTTATGTACAACCCTCGTTGCAAAGCTAATTAGGACAGTAGTATTGCAGAAAACAAAATAAAGAAAATGTTTGTTAACTAAGTTAGTTACAAATACCTACATTTAGACGTCATGGTTTATTGCATGCCAGAAGACTATTTGGATTCGGCTTATAACACTCGGGAAACGTTGCCACGCATACTTCGACTTCATTATTACTACAATTTTGGGGGGTCCGACCCCTTTTAAATTTCGCTTTTTATGTCGTAAAACGTGCGTCGTTAAGTTTAATTAATTTCGGCTCTGGATATGAGAGCCCTATGGTCCGATCGATTGAAGCGGGAAGTTGGTATATTTTAAACTGAATAAAGGTTCTCAGAAAGATAATAATATACTGGAAATTGAAAGGCCAGAATTGAGAGGTGACACAACTTATTGGAATCTGGAAATCTTCAAGAAAAGTCATATGTTGAATTCTGATAATAACAAGGGGTAAACCACCATCCCAGAATTGGTGCAAACAATTCCTCAAAGGGGAATTTTTTACGCATAATTCCCAAAAATTCCTACAAATTCCTCCAAATACCCCACAAATTCCTCTAAAAAAAGGGAAAATTTCGAAACTTTTTGTATGTAAGGAGGAAGGTGAGAAGCCCATTTTCCCAAAATTTCAAATTTTTCAAGTAGAAAATTACAACATGAGGGATCTTGGAAATCAACCTACAATAACTGAATTATTTGAAAATACAGTCTCACATATTTCAAAGTTTTCCTGGAAAACTATTAAAGGGAAAATTTTGATACTTTTTACATGTAAAAAAGAAGTTAAGAAGCTCATTTTCCCAAAATTTCAAATTTTTTTAGTAGAAAACAGCAACATGAAAAATCTTGGAAATCAACCTACAATAACTGCAATAATTGAAAATACAGTCTCACATATTTCAAAAATTTCCTGGAAAACTAGTGAAGGGAAATGTTTTTAAAACTATTTGCATGTGAAGAGGAAGGTGAGAAGCTCATTTTCCCAAAATTTCAAATTTTTCAAATAGAAAATTACAACATGAGGAATCTTGAAAATCAACTTACAATAACTGAATTAATTGAAAATACAGTCTCACACATTTCAAGGTTTTCCTGGAAAACTAGTGAAGGGAAAATTTTGGAACATTTTGCATGTAAAAAGGAAGGTGCGAAACTCATTTTCCCAAAATTTCAAATTTTTCCAGTGGAAAACAGCAACATGAAAAATCTTGGAAATCAACCTACAATAACTGAATTAATTGAAAATACAGTCTCACACATTTCAAAGATTTCCTGGAAAACTAGTGAAGGGAAAATTTTGAAACTTTTTGCATGTAAAAAGGAAGGTGAGAAGCTCATTTTTCCAGAATTTCAAATTTTTCCAGTAGAAAATAACATGAAAAATCTTGGAAATCAACCTACAAAAACTGAATTAGTTGAAAATACAGTCTCACACATTTCAAACTTTTCCTTGAAAACTAGTAAAGGGAAAATTTTTGCATGTAAAGAAGAGGGTGAGAAGCTCATTTTCCCAAAATTTTTCAAATTTTTTCAGTAGAAAACAGCAACATGAAAAATCTTGGAAATCAACCTACAATAACTGGAATAATTTAAAATACAGTCTCACATATTTCAAAGATTTCCTGCAAAACTAGTGAAGGGGAAATTTTGAAACTTTTTGTATGTGAAGAGGAAGGTGAGAAGCTCATTTTCCCAAAATTTCAAATTCTTCCAGTAGAAAACAGCAACATGAAAAATCTTGAAAATCAACCTACAAAAACTGAATAAGTTGAAAATACAGTCTCACTTATTTCATAGTTTTCCTGAAAAAAGTGATAGGGAAAATTTGAAACTTTTTGCATGTAAAGAGGAAGCTGAGAAGCTCATTTTCCCAAAATTTAAAATTTTTCCAGTAAAAAACAGCAACATGAAAAATCTTGGAAATCAACCTAAAAAAACTGAATTAACTGAAAATACAGT